AGATTTACAAGTCTTAATTGACTTGGAGAATAATTGTACGCAATGTAAATTCTATTTTTATTAGTGGCTTGAGGGTCATTCTTTATATATTCTTGTTCTTAATATTACTAGTTTTTGATCAGTACAACGAGGACTAATTATGCTAAAAGAACTGCTAATTTATCTGATAAATTATTTGCGTATTAATTGATAAGGAATATATTATATTGTTTCTGATGAAATATTTGATGAAAAATATGCTATATTTTATGATGAAAATGTATTATATTGTTTTGATGAAAATGTGCTAAGTAATATAATAAATAAAGTGTTATATTGTTTTGATGAAGATTAATGCTATATGATGCAGGCAGATGCTACTTGTCCAAAAAAAAGTCAGCAATCTGGAGAATTTAAATGGTGACGGCAACGTCTGAGATTGAGCTCCGGCGAAATCGTCATGTTCGTCGAATGATTTCTTCAATTTCTGGGGCTTCAAGTCGAGAGATGCGATTAGAAGTTAAGGAGATATTCGCCAATTTTGCCTGGTTCATATTTGTGGAACAACCAGAGAGTAAGTACGCTGTCCGATTTGCCAATGAGGTTATTGAAGCTATGCTGATGCTATTTGAAAGTTCAATATGTTCCTTAAACGTCCGGGGTTTACGTTTAAATTGTCACGGTACATCGTATTTTTACAATTGTAATGTATTGATGTCTTCACTTAGGCAATGTTAAGGATAATTCATTTAACTTTGGCTTCTCACGTACAGGTGGCGCTGAAATAATAAACAACTCATATCATCAGGAGATCAGAAATAACTGGTCGATTTCAGCAACTATCTCGTAAACTACCACGTTTTGGGAATGGCTAAAGCCAGGTACATCACGTGACATGCGACTACATAATTAAAGATTTTAAGCTTAGGATTAAGGTAAAGATCAAGATTATATATAAAATTGCCTCCCCGACATTTTTTATTTTACACCAAGATAGATTTAAGCCTGTTTTTCGTTATTTTCATAGTTTTCCGGGCTGATCAAAAATTTACGCATCCTTATTGGTTTGTGTTTTGAACTGATTATCAGATATAACAGACTTTAGCGTATTCCGCGTCATATGAATCGAGTTCTATAAATTGTATTTGATCATTGGCTCATCTGCTGTCAGAATTAGTTAGGGAACAAGCTGTAGAGGTTATGATCTCTTTATATATTTGGAGAATGTCTAAAGTCTGGTCTATTACGTGATACATGACTATATAATTAAAGATTGATTTTGAGCTTAGGGTTAGGATCAGAGTGGAAAATAATATGTAAAATTGTCTTCCCAATATTTTTTAACACTGCTCCAAGATAGATTTAAGCATCTGTTTTTCGTATTTTTTCATATTTTCGTTCGCGCTTCGGATTTTTTTCCGGGTTGATTAAAAATTTGCGCATCCTTATTGGTTTGTGTTTCGGATTTATTATCGAATGGACCAGGTTTTAGACATTCCCTATATTTGTCGATTTTGCCGATCATCATGGTTGTACGTGTGTTTGTTTGTTTGTTTGTAATTTGGATGTTGAGTCGTACGATCTATAATAATATTATTTTTGTTTTTGCTGTTTCCTTTTTTTTATTGTGTTTGTTTCTAACGTTTATCTTGCTCATAAAGTTGAGTCCCGTTAAGGCTTTTTTAGGAGTTGACCGAGTCGATTTCGCAACCTATAGGCATTATTGACATATGATTCGTGGGTATAGTACCACTCGTTGCTTCATTGCCGTTTGAATTTATCCCTGTGCTTGGCGTGTGTATCATGTCGTAGATCAACACATTTTCGCCTATCTCAAAGTCTTGACCTGTGAAATTCCTTGGTCATATTGTTCTTTAGATTTTGTTGTGCTTCCCGCGCATTCTCTCGAACGTTCTGAATCTGGTCGGGTAGTTGTGTATGAGCGTAAAGATCCGGGTTTTCATTATTTCTTCTAATTCGTTTTCACTTCACTTTCTGAGTGAGTTTCATACTTGTGCTCTATAGGTAGCCTGATTTCCCGTCCGTAAGTCAAGAAGAACGGCTCGTGTCTGGTACTGGAATTTTGTAATGTCCGATATGCGAACAGAGCGGCAGTGATGTACATATCCTATTCGGTGTCCAGTTCAATACAGTATTTTTGCAGCGTTGAGCAAAGGGTTCTGCTATAACGTTCAACGATCCCGTTCCCTAAATCAAGTCGTATCCGCGCGACGCGCCTTTAAGTCGTTTGCTGAAGTGTTGGGGGTGGTATGGCGACGAGAACTTCTGTTAGATCGGCCAGTTCCTTTACGATTGATGCGATAAACTCGGTTCCGTTATCTGATTGGATTTCTCTGGAGCAGCCATGCCTACAGATGATTTCTCCGAACACAAGCGCCGCGACCGTGATTGCTTCTTTTTTGGGAATGGCTCTGGCTTTGGGACATTTAGTGAAGTAATCGATATATATCGGCTTCCCTTAGTTGTTGGTCTGCAGGTCCGAACAAGTCAACGAAGATTCTGTCAAAAGGTTGTCCAATCTTGATTGGATAGAAAGGTTGTTTGGTTTTTCGCCCTCCGGTTCGTTGGCAGGTCGAACACGATTTGACAAATTCTTTTATGTCGTTTCCCATACCATTCCGCCAGTAGTGGGCTGCGATTCGTTGATAGGATCCTTCGTATGTGAAGTGTCCCGAGAGTATATCCCGTGCATATAGGATGACCTCCGTCTCCGTTTCTTTAAGGACCCGTAGGGTTGTTTTGTTCCTTCCTTCGGTTTATTTTATATAATAATCCTTGTACGATGTAATGTTTTGCTTGGTTTTTAATTCGTTGTTGTTGTTCCTCAGTGCATCCTACAGGATGGCTTCCGCCCTCCAGATATTGCAGTAAGTTGTACATGGTTATGTAATTTTTGCTACTTGTAGATTGAAAAATGTATTTACTTTGTATGGTATTATTTTTGTGTTGTTTTGCATTATTCGTCCGTTTTTTTTTTGTTGATTCATCGATTGCGAGCTATTGAGTGGTGTATCTAGTGTTTACTAAGGGGAGTGACAAATATTCTATAGGGGGATGGGTGATGGCCAAATCTCAGGTATTAATATAATCTCACGTGCATGTGTTAGACAAAATCTCAGGAGGGGGGGATGAGAGGGTCCCTATAATAAAATGTATATTAGCTAATATTTGTTACTCCCCTAATATTGGCCAATGCAGGAGAGTGCCTCAGCATTTTGATTTAACTTTCTAGGGCGATAGGAAACGGTGAAGGTGTATTCCGACGTCATCATTATCCAACGAGAGACTCGCGGGATTGACTTGTTTAGCCATCGGAGGGCACTGTGATCCGTGACGATTTCAAAGAGCGTGCCAAACAAATAATTGCGGGATTGTCGTACACCCCAAACTACGGCCAACGCTTCCTTCTCCATTACGCTGTAACGTTTTTCTACGGCCTTAAGCGAGACACTGGCGTAGGCAATCACGCGTTCTCGGTTCTGATCATCCTTCTGCACGAGCATTGCTTCTAATTAGGGATGTTTTGCGTTTTATTTGGTTTGAAATGGTTTAAATAAAATTATTAATTTCTTTAAAAGTTATTATAATTTTTTAATAAGTACAGTAACTTAATTTACAATATTATAATCTAATTTTAATTAGTAACTTAACAAAAATAATGATCTCAAATATTATTAATTTTATTAAAACTATCTCAAACCATGATTCAAACCGATGATGGTTTAAATGAAATTACTAATTTTTCATAAAAATGATTAGAAGGTTAAAGAGAAATAGTTATAAATACTTGATAATTTCAATCAGGTAAATAAACCGATAACATCCCTACTCCCAATCCTGTATCGGAGGCGTCTGTATATAGATAGAATTTTCGTGGGGCACATTAGAATCGCTGAGGTAAGTTGCTTTTTTAATTCATTGAAGGCGTTTTCCTGTTCCGTGGTCCAGTGAAATTTCACATCACTTTTCAAAAAGGTAAAATAGAGGGGCCGCAACTTGAGAGAAGCCCTTAACGAACTTTTCTTTGTGACGTTGTTAATCTTTCTATAGTCTACAGAGGCGTTTCTTGTCATTCTTTTTGTTGACCACGACAATGGGTGAGGCCCAAGGGCCATTCGAATGTCGAATGATCCCAGCATCCAGCATTCTCTGTATCTCATTATGGATGAACTCTTGGTCTGGTAGTGTTGCCCGATAAGCTCTTCATCGAATCGGTCTCGTGTCGCCGGTGTCTATTTGATGTTGCACCAGATTATTTCGTCCCAATTCAGTCATATTGGCAGCAAAAATATCATTATGTGCATCCAGTAGGTTCCTAATTCTTCTCTCGTCGAGACCGTTTGGACTCAGTAACGTCAGCTAATACCGCTTGAGCTATCCTTTTATTAGGTTGGATATCATATGCCGAGTTCGAATTAGCACGCCGATGTTTCCGGTGTAGCCGGCATCAACCGCTCCTCCTTTTAGGGGAGTGACAAATATTAGCTAATATTCTTGGGGGAGGGTGATGGCCAAATCTCAGGTATTAATATAATCTCACGTGCATGTGTTAAACAAAATCTCAGGAGGGGGAGGGTCCCTATAATAAAATGGATATTAGCTAATATTTGTCACTCTCCTTACTTCAATTCCCTGTCTTGCCGATGACGACTGGGACATTAGCTGGCAAACGGTTCCTACGGGAAGTGTTGTCATTGTTACACGTCCAAACGTCACACACCAATCAAATTGTTGTAGTTTTGTCCAAATTACCATAAAGGCAACTTAGACGTCCTTGATGTAACGCTGACAACACTGCCTACGGAACCTCAAAGGCGACATTAAAATCGATCAAAATAGATTGGTGGGGTCGTATGACAATTATTTGGTCGCCATGATACCGTAAATCAAATCCGGCGTCGGTTTCGTGTATTCGTTCTGGTAGTTTCCCTTTACCTTCGTTGGTGTAAACTTTAATCAAGTATTTAGCGTCCTTGAGTATACCTGGCCTGTCGGCAAGTCCTACGCGACTTCCCTCTTCATGGGTCTCATCATTAAGCCTTTCCGCGTGCATAATTATAATCTGCGCTCGGTTCGCGATCACATGATAAGAAACCAATAAGAATGCGCAAATCATATGTGTGCCGGCAACTATTAAAGGTTAATTTTATCGTTTGTATTAGGGTAAGGGTTGGAGTGAAGAACAAGGTTATATGTAAAATTGCCTCCCCGACATTTTTATTAGAGCTTCAAGTTAGATTTAGACATCTGTTTCCCGTATTTTTCACATTTTCACACCTTTCATTTTTTGTGTCGGATTTGTTTTGCCGGGCTGATCAATAATTTGCGCATTCTTATTGGTTTGTCATGTGCATGTGATCAGGAACCGAGCACAGATTCTATATACGCTTTCCGCGTCTACGGCCTTGTTCTGAGTTCTGTTTTCAACCCTGTCCCCAATCGGTGCGAGTTTAGTCCTGTCTTTGCTTGTCATTCCTTGCATCGGTTTGGGACTTGATGCGACTGTACACAGTCATCACATTGCTCGGAATCACATGGTATCAAACATTCAGAGTAAAGCTTAACATTAATGTGTTTTAACCGAGCCAGTTGTAGTCGCCGTTCTGGAGTTAGGGGAGTGACAAATATTAGCTAATGTCCATTTTATTATAGGGACTCTCCAGAATATTTGTCACTCCCCTTAGTTGTTGATAGTGATGTACCGGGATAGGATCCCCTTCTCTATCTCGTTGCATTCTTGATATACTAATAAAGGGCGTGAGGGGGAATGGCCAAATCTCAGGTATAATCTCACGTGCATGTGTTAAGTGAAATATCAGGAGGGAGGAGGGGCCCCTATAATAAAATGGATATTAGCTAATATTTGTCACTCCCCTAACAAGTTTCCCGTTTCGCGTAGTTTCCGAATCGTACCCAACCGCCGTGGTCGAATGTATAGATACACTGTTCTATATGAGAGCAAAAGTACTTGGTGTGGTATCCTCCAACACCATACAACTCGGCGGCAGGGCATGATATCCACATTGGAAGCATACGGGCAAGTTTAACTTTTCTAACGCAGTCGTTGCAGTATAAATTTTTGGAGTCGTCTTGTTCGGTTATCAACTGTGTTCCCAAATAATCCACATCCGAAACACCGCGTTATTCGGCTGTCGAGCTGGAGGTAGTCAAGTACCGTCTTTCTAATCGAGAATTTAATCTCGATGTAAGGGATTTTGTTAAAGAGCTGTTGATTTTCCACTTCCATCCACCAGTCCTCACAGGAACTCTCCGGGAGGATTGTAGTAAGATTATCGGGCGTTCGTAATTTAATATCGACCAAGACGATAAGTCCTTCATAACAGTCTTGGCATTCGTGTCTTGAGTCAGGAAATTTCCGTCAGCACCAGCACTCAGCAGGTCCTTCCCAGTCAAAATGCCAACTGGAGTCGTGATACCGTATTTGGTTGAACTTAGTTTGAAGTTGTGCATATTCATCCCAAGTAACAGTTGGATTCCAATTGGGCTCCTTCGTAAATCTGAACAATTTTAAGTTTCGGTATTTTTTGTACGTGTTGAGAAATTCCCTCGAAATCCAATTTATCAGAACGCCAGCAAAGGAAGTTTCGGTTTTCTAATTGCTGTTCTTCGATCTCGTACACATCATTGGAGAGTTCTGAGTTATCAGTACTTGATTCAATGTCAATAGGGTTCCTTTACCCATGGATATACTGAATGCTTTCTGTCCGTTCCATTTCAGCGTCATTATACCTTTCCTAATGTCGATGTTTCGTCTTGATCTTTGTTCGATTAATCATTCCGGTTGCTTTCCGTGTCACCTTCTTTTTAATCGGTCGCCGCATTCCCTTCGACATCTTTATCCGTTGCTCTGGAGAAGTTTTGAATACCTGGACAATGGTGATATTAGCCTTAGTGGTAGCGAGGTCGTCTAGGATGTCATGCGGGATAGCTCTGGAGACTAAAACAAGTAGTCGACTTTATTCTTTCTTTTCTTCTTTTTGTCTTCGTGGTTGTCTTCGACTGGGTTCTGTTCAATTACTTGTTCAAAGATTCGGTCTGTGTCCTCATTTTGCATGGTCGGATCGATCCATCCTTGTTCGTTTGCGTTTCCCGGCTAAGTATTCGCGTGTTGCGAGCAGTGATGGGTTCGGTGTATTTGATATTTTCGTCTGGGATTTCGCAGTGGCTGTAAAGCGGCAGTAAGTGTTTGAATTGGGAATAACGCTAGTATCAGTTGGTTTAACTATATTTGGTTCCAGGACCGGATTTAGGTTAGCATGGTTGGAAGAGCCCTTGTTCATCGGTACAGTGTTTGCATTGTACGTTGGCTGTCCATTTGATCGTTGATTACCTGAGACCTTTACTCACACAACTTTTTGATTTTTGGATTTCTATTTATGGTGGTAGTGATTGGGCTGAGTATCGTTGGATTACTAGAATAAAAGATGGAGGGGTTGGTGGTGATAGTTCTCAATGAAAGAGAGCTGATTTTCGGAACGAATGGGTAACTCGTTGTATGTAGTAAGAGGGTTCAGGTAGTACTGCTGTACGTGCCCAGTTTGACCGCATCGGTAGCAAGTTAGCCGGCTTCCAAAGTTTTGTTGACTTCGATCGTACGGTCTTGGTTGGTAAGTTGTCCTAGTGGCTTCAACTTGTTCTAACCTATTAGCCAGGTTTTGAAGGGTATCATCGAGATGGTCAAAACCGTCGAAGAAGCCGACACCGAAGAATCAACAATCACCGACCACAGGTAGCACCAACCGTCGATCCCTGCATTCTCACACGTTCTCTAACGTTCCGTCAGAGTTTATAGTAACCCACTTTTTGATTTCTGGCTTAAGTCCTCTTTTGTAAGTATGGCACCATCCAAGTCATCAAACATTTATGTTTTATGACTTTAGATGGTGTGTCTTGTAACCAGCCGGGGTAGTTGCTGTCGAGGTCAACCTTCTTTAGCAGTTTGTTGAACCGATTAGTGTATTCTTCAATGATTCCTTCTTGTTCAGGGTTTCAAGTTCGCCTTACTATTGTTCTACCTTCCGATGGGTTCGAAACTTTAATGTGAATCGGTGTTTGAAGTCGTGATCATCGTCCTGTTGATTTGTCCATGCATTTAACCGAAGGTTGTCGTCAGCGTGTCTCTGATCAAACCAAGCGGCAGCGATTCCTTAGAGATGGCCTCGTACAATTTGGATTTTTCTTTCGTCGGTGATTCCGTTGGTTCAATCAGCGATTTCGAAGTCTCGGAGCCACTCGACCGAGTCTTGGTCTTCACCTCGAAATTTCTTGATTGGGATAAGGACCTTTCCGGACGTTGGGCTAGTTCATTATGCATGGTTTTGGTGAGTTGAGCAAGGGCTTCAATTAGGTTATCTATGTTGGTTGTCATTTCTTTGCCTTCTAGTTTGTTTACTAATGTTTGGTCTTCGTCAGGGTCAGAACCTTCTTCGGTGTTTACAATAATTCGCTTGTGGTTGTCTTCACCGTTTATTTCCGAGGATAGTTAGCTGAAACGTTGCGTAGATGGTCTATATGGTTGTTATTTCGGTGTTGTGAACGAACGGTATTTCCAAGTCGGTTTTAGTGATTTTACCTTCAACAATGGATGAGCAATAGACTAATAAATTCTATAGCCTGTGTCGATATCTACGGATATCGTCAGTTGCGTCGAGTTTCGAGGATTACAAGTTTAGGTAAGATAATCAGGGGTTTATTGGTAATAATATTAACTATTATGATGCTTTTTCTAGACAAAAGCCTTGAACTCTTAACGTCTGATTATTCAATTAATCCTAGTAACGATTTCTCAATACGATGTCTTTTTTGGAACAAAGGAATCAGTTGATAAATTTTTGTGTAGTGTTGCCGTCACCGCTTAAATTCTCCAGATCGCTGACTTTTTTTGGGCAAGTCAACATCTGCCCGCATAATATAGCGTTAATCTTCATCAAAACAATATAACACTTTATTTATCATATTATTTAGCACATTTTCATCAAAGCAATATAATACATTTTTCATCATCAGAAACAATATAATATATTCCTTACCAATTAATACGCAGATAATCCATCAGATAAATTAGCAGTTCTTTTAGAATAATTAGTCTTCGTTGTACCAATCAAAAACATGTATTAAGAACAAGAATATATAAAGAACGGCCCTCAAGCCACTAATAAAAATAGAATTTACATTTCGTAAAATCATTCTCCAAATTAAGACTTGTAAATTCCATTATAAAGTAAACGTTAACGTTATTTTTGTGGTTAGGCCAATAAAATTAATCTATATCAATATACCACACTCTACTCTTAACTTTGTCACATCCTTTTACTAGACAGTTGATATTATCCAATTAATTTTCATAAATTCGTTTATCATTTCCGGTGTGAGTGATTTTTTAACAATTTCGACATTTACTACAAAAATTAGTAGCAATAATTGCAGTAATTCTGAACTTCATGAGTAATGCAATCTAAATACTCATTCCAGTCGTGATTTCTTTCACAGTAGTAACATTCACTACATTATGAGTATTGTAAACTGAACACTCGCTACAGCCATAACCCAGATATTTACAACGCAAACATTTACTACAATCATGAGTATTGTAAACTGAAAACTCGCTACAGCCGTAACCCCCCCCCCGCGCCGGGGGATATTTACAACGCAAACATTTACTACAATCATGAGTATTACGGGTCATATTAGAAATATATAAATGTGTTATGAAAAATGACAACAAACGCGTTTTATGCTAATTGGTGTCATTCTAAAAGCCATTTATTTGTGTTTGTGTAACTAATAAAAGACTCAAATGCATGTTGAGGCGTTCTTTACAAAAAAAAAGATGTATGGGGACGAGACACATACGTTTGATTTACCGTATTTTGCCGTGTACATGTTATAAGCAACTTGTGACAAATAAATGTTTACATATAAATATGTGATACTTAATATAATAAAATACATGTGATAAATTAAAAAATTCCTAAAAAAGGGCAATGTCACAGGTTGCTTATACACGGCAAAATACGGTGATTAGTTTATCTACCACGCGGTAATCAGCTGAAGACTAAATAAACTTACAATATAGTGAAAACCCCATTCGATATTGTGAATTTTGAAAAATTTGTCTAACGAGTGTTTTTGTATTTAATCGAAAATGACCGAAGAGTTTTACGGATATGCCGCATTTAGCAAAGAAAGTGGCTTGAAGTTGTACTCTTATACGCCTAAGCCATTAGGTGATGAAGACGTCGAAGTGGGGATTTCGCATTGCGGTATCTGCGGTAAGAACGAACGAAGCGGTTGTTATCACTCAAGTAATCGAAATCTAATTAGATAAATCATGAATAGGTAGCGACTTGCATACGATGAGGTCCGGTTGGCGTCCAACTCGATACCCTAGTGGGTAACGTTTTGTGAATTTCAGATCTTTGAGAAGCTTGGGTTTACAGCATTGATTGATAAAAATTGTATTTCTGATTATAGTTATCGTGGGCCACGAAATTGTTGGCAAAGTCTTGAAGAAAGGTTCTAAAGTCATCGACTTCAATGTTGGTGATCGTGTCGGTGTCGGTTGTCAGCTCCAATCGTGCAGAAAATGTGATGAGGTACACAATAAAATTTTAAACCCAAGATTCTATGCGCTAAAAAATATTTTCCTTTCCATAGTGTAGGATGGGCTACGAGCAACTGTGCGCAAAGAAAGTGTTCACTTATAATGATATGTGGAAAGATGCCGAAGGTAATCCCACCAAATATCCAACTCAGGGTGGCTATGCTGACAAAATTCGTACGCATTCCGATTTTGCATTCCATATTCCGGAAGAAATCAGCTCAGCCGAAGCCAGCCCATTGCTTTGTGCCGGAGTGTCTACATTTGTTCCGTTGAAGCGTCACAAAATTGGTCAGGGCAATAAAGTTGGTATCGCTGGCATTGGCGGTTTAGGTCACATGGCAATTCAGTGGGCGGCTAAGATGGGTGCTGAAGTCACGGCTATCTCGCACAGGTACTACGATACTTGCAAGTTGAATGGAAAACAAAATAAGATACCAAATTTGCTCCATTTTTGAATATTAAACACATTAGTAGCGGAAAACGCGATGACGCGATCAAACTTGGCGCAACTCACTTCTTGAATTTTTCGGATCCGGAAGAAGTCGAAAAATTCGCTAATTCACAAGATCTCATCATCTTAACTTCGTTTAACCCACATACCGATTGGTCGAAATGTCTAAGGCTCCTCAAGAACCACGGTATTTTTGTCTTGCTCGGTCTTCCAGAAGTCCCACTTCAGATTCCGCCGTTCGCTCTCATGCGTGACGTGAAGATTGAGGGCTCGTTGATTGGTGGACGTCAAGATGTTAAGGATATGCTTGAATTTGCGGCTAAGCATAATGTCAGATCTTGGGTCCAAAAAGTCCCAATGAAAGACGTCAACGAGGGGATCAAAATTATGCTCGATGGAAAGGCTAGATACCGGGTAGTGCTGGAAAATTAAAGCCTTTAAAAGATACTATGACCAATAAAAACTGTCAAACACCTGCATTTCAAATACTAATTATCGCACACGTTGGTGACCTCTCCTTGATTATTAACTCCTGAAGAGAAATGCAAATACATATAACTCACATAATGATAGTATCATTCAGCTGAATTATGCTCGATGTCATATAACTTTTTGGTCTTTCAGAGCTTTGCGATATTAGGAAAAAACCTGCATTGCAAATCACTAATTATCGCACACGTTGGTGGTTATTAACTCCTGAAGAGAAATGTAAATACATATAACTCACACAATGATAACATCATTCAGCTGAATTATGCTAGATGTCATAGAACAATATCATTCAGCTGAATTATGCTAGATGTCATATAACTTTTTGGTCTTTCAGAGTTGTCTTGCGATATTAGGAAAAACTGTCAAACACACTGCATTGCAATCACTAATTATCGCACACGTTGGTGGCTTCTCCTTTGTTATTAACTCCTGAAGAGAAATGTAATACATATAGCTCACATAATGATAGTATCATTCAGCTGAATGATGCTAGATGTCATATAGTTCTTAGTCTTTCAGAGTTGTTTTGCGATATTAAGAAAAACTGTCAAAACCCAATTATCGCACATGTTGATGAGCCTCTCCTTGATTATCAATTCCTGAAGAGAAATGCAAATACATATAATTCGCACAATGACAATATCATTCAGCTGAATTATGCTAGATGTCATCACTTTTTGGTCTTTCAGAGTTGTCTTGCGATATTAGGAAAAACTTTCAAAACCTATTATCACACATGTTGCTGGCCTCTCCTTGATTATCAACTCCTTGAGAGAAATGAAAATACATATGACTCACATAATGATAGTATCATTCAGCTGAATTATGCTGGATGTCATTAGCTCTTTGGTCTTTCAGAATTTTTTTGCGATATTAGGAAAATCTTATTGTTAGCAAAGATTTCAATTAAAAATTTTATATAGTACAATACAATATCCAATATATAACATAGAGCTATATGACAAGGGATACGGACTGCAGAATCTCAACAATTTGTTAACAAAGATCTTTATTTACTTCAGAACTAGGCCACTGGCTCTTTGTGACTGCTAATCGGTCATGACAGTTTCTTGACAAGGGTCTTTATTTACTTCAGAACTAGGCCACTGGCTCTTTGTGACTGTCAATTGGTCCTATCAGGTGGTTTTAACAAGACGAGATGACCCTTTTTGATCAAGTTAGGTTTTTTGCGGTTTTGGTAATCTGGTTTTTGCCATACGACATTAGAGACTACGTATATTAGTGCAAGTTATTGAGCAAGGGTACCCAACTAACGAAATCAAAGACTGGCTATTAACGATTCGAGCTAGTATAAGAGACTCACCAGTTGATGGTTTAACAATGCCGCTATCATTTACTAGAATAATGTTGATAAAGATCGGATTAATTATCTCGGAATTGATATCGAGTTTTTAAACGTAACTTCTCCAAAATCAAGAGCAACCTACCTTTTGATGCATTTCGAAGATCAGGTAGGATTTCCAAAGAGTATATGGTGCTTTGACTATCTTCCATCATCAACATTCGACTGGTTACATTGTTTTCAATAAGTGTGCTTTGACTCTCCTGAATATCTCCCATCATCAACATTCGACTGGCTACATCATTTTCAACAAGTGTGCTACTTTGACCCTCGTGAATATTTCCGGTCGTCTGGATTCGACTAGTTACACTGTCCCTAACAAGTGTGTCGGGTTTTTGAAGGGCTGCCTCATACTCATCCAAAAAATAGTAATAGAGATCTTCAGCAGATGGTCGTTCGGAAGGTTCAGCATGCCAACATTGTTTCATTAGAGCTTCGAAAGATGGTGGTAATCCATTAGGAATTGGAGGTCGACTTCCTTTGACAATTTCGTAAGCGAGTAGCGTGTCATGAATACGGTTAAAAAAAGGCGGGTGACCAGTGGTTGCATGATACATAAGCATTCCCATACTGTAAATATCGACTGCAGTTGTGTATTTACGATCAAGTAAGACCTCGGGTGCAGTGAATGGAAGGTTCCCGTAAATTTCTGAGGGTTGTTTATTTGCTGGACCGCAAATACCAAAATCCGAAAGATGAAATAAATTGCCCTTAGACTTTAAGACATTTTTACTGTGGAGATCGCGGTGGATAAGATTTTCAGCGTGCATATTATAAAGATCCTCTAATTTTTTCGTTAGATTGAATTTAGTAAATTGCCGATATCTGAAAGCTCAAAGTATTCGTTCGATTACTCACCAGACACATTATAAAATATGCTATAAATATCTTTCCAAGTGATATCAGCAGATTCCTTGATATAAGAACTAAAGTCTTGTTGATAATGGGCAAGCACCAAGATATATTCCCCGGTACTGGGATCTCTTGTTATTCCATAACAAGTAGCAACAGTGTAGCCTTTTGAACCGAGTAAGATATGAACTTTTAACTATTATGTAAAAGCGTTATTACGATATTCCAACGATAGGTTCTTAAATAATCAATCGCGATAATTACCTCTTCGAGAAATTGAGTACTTGCATGTTGACTATCCAATAATTTCTTGAGGATCACAATACCTGGAGAACTTCTTTCAAATTCCTGCTTTTTGTTAGAAAACGACAATATAACCCCTTTCTTCCAAACGGCGATGAAAATTTGAGCGCATCCTCCATGTGTTTTGTACTTAATATCTTCAAGATCATCATATGGAATCCATTCGATAATATACCTAGGCAACGGAAGATTGATTTGCGATTGTTGAATTGCTTGGTCGATAATTTTATTTCCTGATGTCCAGTTGACAAAATTTTTTGTGAGATGATCGCGTGCGCAGAGTTCGCAAAACAATATGGTGTACCCCGACCTATTACACTGTTTGCACAGGTAGGTAGGTCCCTTAAGACGAACAAGATTTTCCCGATCCTTCATGAAAGTGAAATTTCTTTCTGCTTCTATTTTCTCTGAATTGCTTAGTTTAGCATTTGCCTTTAATAGTTTCAATACGCCCTCATATTGTTCATTGACATTTTCGCCGGGCGTGGCAAGTTGAGCTTCGTCGCTCGCAGTATTGACCAAATTCCATCGAATCATTTCGGAACTTTCAAATCTGTTACTTTGAGTTTTTCCACATCTGCATAATATAGATAATATAGACACCATATTTTTGTTTGGAGCACAGTGCGGGACAGCATAAATTCGACGGAATTTTGTGCAAGTAACACATAAAACACGTAACAAAGAACTATTATAGATGTTACAAACCAGGGTTAAGATTAGGAGATAAAGATATTTTTTATTAGTCTGTCTTACATTTTTACTTTTTGTATCGGATTTGTTTTGCCGATTTAAGCTCATTATTGGTTTGTGCTAACTTGCACAGCCATAAATCGTTAAATTACACCCTTTATGATTGGTCAATTCATAAAAGCAAAATGCAATACAAAAATTTCTTTGAAAAATAGCTTGTATTTCAAAATTTTGTTTATGAATTGTCCATAAAATTGTCTTTGAGTATTAAAAAATGTCTTGCTAAATTTTGCTATACAGTAGCTTACAAAAATAGTGAATATATTACTTCAAAATTTACTATTAAAATATAATAAAATTGAAATTTAATTTTTATTAAAATAAAGTTTATAGCTTATATTTTAATAATTATATATATATATTCCAGTTTTTTTTGTATTTAATTCAAATAAAGTTTCATAATTGCAAAATAAGTATAAAATTTTTATTATATTTTAATTAATAAAAAATTTTGCAATTAGAAAAATTTTTTGAATTAAATATTAAAATATAAAATAAAAACTTTGTTTAATATAAAAATAAAAATTATTAAAAAAATATTTTAATAAAAATAAAATTTTTAATTAATAATAAATTTTTGAAAGTAATATATTATTTTTATAAGTTTCTATATATTTTTTATTATATAATTTTAGTATTAATTTTAATATTAATTTCAAATAAATAAGTAAATATTAAAATAAAATAAATATAATTATATCAAATTTATTAATAAAATACAATAAAATATAGATTTTTCTTTTTATATAAAAATTTTCAATTTTATTAATTAATATTTTTGATTTTAACAGAAATATAAATAATAATTTATATTTTAATATAATCTGAAAAAGTTTTTTTAATTGCAAATAAGCTAATTAATTTACTTTGTATTTAAAAAAAACTTTCTCAAATTAAATCTAAAAATTCTGAAAAAATACATATTAAAATTAACTTATTAGTTTTATTATATAAATTTTAATAATTATAAAAAATTATATAAAATATAATTATAATATTATATAAGATTATTGATTAAAAAATTAAACAAATAATTATTTATTATTAATGTTTAGCTTTTTTTCTAATTATAATATTTTAATTAAAAAGTTAAATAAATAATTATTTATTATTAATATTTAAAATTTGTTTAATAAATATTTATAATGACAATCAAAAATAATATAACAATATTAAAATTTATTAATAAAATATAGTAAAATATAAATTTTTTTCTTTATAAAGTTTTCAATTTTATTAATAAATATTTTTAATTTTATATTAAAATAAAAATAATATTATATATTTTAATATATATTTTTTTAGATTTTTTAGATTTAATCTAATTAAATTACTTAATTATATATAAAATTAATTATTTTTATATAATTAAAATATATAAAAATATTATTAACTTTATATACAATTAGAATAATTTGATTATATTTAAAATATAATATCTTCTAAATTATCAAATTATTTTTATAAAATTATTACTATTATTATTATTTTGAGTTTTTGTATATAAAAATATTCTAAAATTATAATAATAATTATATTTAAAAAATTTAATTACAAACTTTTTTTAATTCAAAATTAAATAAAACTAATTTTTAATAAATTCTTTAAAAAATTAAATTATCACTTTGAATATTTAAAATTTAAAATTTTAAATTTATCAAAAAGTTTAATTCAGATTTGATTCAAATATCAAATTATTTTTGAACTCAAATCAAAGTTTAATTTAATTTTTGAATTTTTTTTGAACTCATCAAAAAATTAAATTCAAATTTTTTTAAACTTAAATCAAAATTTGATTTTGAATTCAAATAAAAATCTAATTTATAAAAATATCAAATAAGTATAATACTTATTATATATAATAAAATTACTAGTTTTTTTATTTTGCTATGAAAATAATTAAAATATATAAAAATTTGTAAATATATAATATATATATTATAATTAAATTAATTTAAGACTATTTTATAAAATAACTTATTATAATTATATTTAATTTTAATCAAATTCTAATAGTACACTTTAAATAAAATAAAAATAATTAATCTAAATAGTATTTTTTATTATATTATTATCATTTTATCTTTCATTATTTTTTTAATAGCTTTATATCAGACTGAGGTGGTTTTAACTTTTTGTTCAATTATTTCAGTAACTTTTCTGATAGTCTTTTTTTTGAATTGGGTAGATCCTCTTATAGCTTTTAACATTTTGAGTCATTTTTCTGATGAAGTTCAAATTAACTATCCAAAAGTTATATTGGCTTTACTAATTATCAAATCATCCAATATATCATATAGAATAGATTAAGTAACCAGAACAGATTAAGCAGCTTTGTCTTTCTTCTTTTTAGTATTTTCTTGGATACAATTATTCTGGCAGTTGAGATCAGTAATTATTTAACTTGGATTTCTGAAGGTAATACATTTGAAATAGTTAAATTACTTGATTTAGTCATAATTATATTTTCATTAACAGTGACTTTATATTCATTCAATTTAGTTCTTTTTCTGTTATCATCTAGATAATTATGGGTAGCAAATAATATTGAATTAGTAGAGTTAGTTGCTTCCATTTGTTGATCAGAAATTAATGCTTATAGTACTGCTAATAATAGTTGAATTTGTAATAGGAGATTGATCTGATTAGTACTATTAATATTTGTTGGTGCTGATCTAGGAGGAGGGTTATTTCTCATTGAATTATTGTCATTATTATTTGGTTGATTATTTTGATTATTTCAATTTGATTAATTTCTGGTGACATTTTATCAATAAGAGCTGGTATTGTAAGGCTTATTGCAATTTCTTAATAGATGTCCAATCTCATTACAGTTGTAACTAATTGGTGGCTGGTAGTTGTTGTCACAAGAGTAGTTTCAGTCATTGCTTTTTGATTGAAAAGCAGGTTTTCTTGATACTTCTAGATTATTTAATTTACTAATCAAATTTTAAAGTACAATTATAAGTTGAGTAAAGTCAGATATTGATCTGTTTTGAATTTGATGATATGTGGTAATTAGCTCTTTTGAGTTGGCTTCTTCAATAATTTAGGTCACATGAATGATATTTGATAGTGTTCCATCAGTATTTATTCTAATCCATTTGCAAATTTCTGGTTTTAGATCTCATTTATAGGTTCTGGTTTTATAATCATCTGGATATGTATTGATAGAGTTCACTTTCTTCAAGAGAATATTAAATCAATTAGTATATTTATTGATACTTTCAATTTGTTGAAGAATCTCAAATTTATTTTGCCATTATTTAACTTTATAGAGGTGCAAAATTTTAAAATAAAACAATATTTGAAATTGTATTTATTATTTGCAATATTTGTCCAGTCAGTTAAAGTGAAAGCATGATAGTTCTTTAATCAAACCAATAGCAGCAATACCTTTCAAGTATCCATATACTATTTGAATTTTGTGGACATCAGTAACTCTATTGACAGTAGTAGTGATTTCAAAATCTCTGAGTTATTCAACCGGATCTTGATCATCACTCTTGAATTTGCGAATTGGAATATAATTCTTCTTAGCTCTTAGTCCAATAATGAAAGCAGCAGTAAGAGCATTTAGTCTATTAAAAACATCATCTAAACCAACTATTTTTTTATTTTCAGATTCTTCAATTGCTTTTTCTGGTTCAGAGTTTAATTCTTCTTCTGATAATGATTCTTAATTAGAAATATCCAGTTCTTCTTCAGTATTAATTTGTATAATTAATTGTTCTTGAAAGTTGATGTTTTGTTATTCTTCTGCAGATTTTTCTTCTACTTGTTCAATAATTATTTATTGATCTTCTATTATTTTAATATTGCTGACAGTTTCAGAATAGTAACTGTTAGATATAATAGAATCTTTTTTGAATTTTAAGTTATAGAAATCTTTAAGAATTATTCTGACTAGAAATAATTAGTGATCAAGTATGTATTTGTTTTGATAAATAAGGATATTCAATAGTTGAATTACTCATTTTCTTAGTTCTTTTTTTTAATAATAACAAAATTTGCTTTAAAATATCTTCAAATAATTGTTCAGTAATAAAAGATCCAGATATTGCATCTTGTTCTTGAATTCAGATGAGAAAATTAGCTAAAAGTTCAGATATTGTATCTAAGGTTGCTTGCCGAAATCTCTTAGTGACTGTCTAAATTCTGTCAAAATTATAATAAACTATTAGTAAATAACCTGTCGAAATTCTGACGAATTTTGAAACCCGTCGTAACCAAAATTATGTCAAAATTCTAATTAACAATTAGTGTGTAACCTGTCAAAATTATGACAATATTTTTCTGAAAGGATTTAGGTAAGCATTCTTAATTGTATCAGAAGGTGGAAAACAAATATGATAGAAGTATTATTGAGAAATTTGAAGTAATATTTCTTGATGTTAAATTTTCAGATGAATATTAAGATGTGAGCTAATAGATTCTTCAATAAAAATATAATAATTGTTCATAAAGGAATTTTAAATAAAAAAGAGAATTTTTGAAATAATATTCCACAGAGAGAGCATCAAAATGTTACAAGTTTGTTCACTAATTGTAAAATTAACTTACAAACAAGAACTTGAGTTGGAAAAGAGTATAAACTAATAAAAAAATATTAAGAGAAAAAAGAAGTATTGTTGTATAATGATCTTTTGTTATAATATTTCATATTATTGAATTATACATATTTCATATCTTATTGGATAAAGATCAAATCATATGAAGTGAATGAAAAAGTGAGCGAACAAGCAAATGAGCGAATGAATGAATAACTAAATGAACAAGTGAAT